AAGTCGTTCCGCTCGTGCCTCTTTCCTTTTGAGAAAGAACTTTGCTTCACTCTCCTTGGGACCACCTTTAGAGTTACCCACTATGATTCCAAACTGCTACAATCGCCTCGTGTTAACACTACTTCCTACAAAAAAAAACAGAAAAGGTCCTGAGTTTAGTCCCTCTAGTTTAGTAAAATAGCCACGCTTATCCCTACTTCTACTACCGGTCCAAATTTATCCTGCTGTTAAGATAGTAGATAAAATTGTCCCTAACTCTAACAAAAGTCCACCGTGGCACCGAGACCCTTCTCTTAAACTGCCAACTAAGCAAATTCTAAACCTAATTTAAAAGACCCGCCCTAGTCACTGGCCAGTTAGTAGTGAACTAATGTCTTAACTTCAATACAACACAAGAGGAGGGGTGATTAGTGTGGTGTCCAATTTTTCGCTCAAACTGATTATGGAAGGACCTGGTTCTTCTAAGTGTTCCTTAACCTACTATTGCATAAATAGTAAATGCGGAAAGTAAAGAACACAAGTATTTTACGTGGAAAACACCTAGCTCAAAAGGTGAAAACCCCACGACCTACTTCCCAGTAGGATTTTCCCAAACTCTCACTAAATCACTAAGCCAAAAACTGCATTTACAAAAACACTTTTGTAAACCTAGCACTAACTCTAATCCCTTGTAGCAAACAGCCTCTAACTGTTGCGACAACTTCAAGGTAACTCTAACTTGAATACTTTGAGTACCTATTACAATTGCTTCTAGATAAAGCTGAAAGGTACAATATGAAAACACCTACTACAAATGAAATAGAATCAAAGATAGACACTTGGAACTGGTTCTTCTATCTGGTTCATGTAGCTTCAGGTTTGCACACTTGAATCACACACGAACTGCTTGCAAAATGCATTGCTATTTTGCTTTCAATTCCTGTTTAACTTCTGCGTTTGTGCATCCCTGTAAAATGAGAACATCCTACAATATATAGAGTTAGTAGATAAAGAAATAACTAGAGTTCTAATGCTACTGTTCCTTGGTGGAAAAGTTCTAGTTAATCTCAACTTCAAACTCTTCCCTTATCTTGGATAGTGTTCTCTTTGATTAAGGAGTCCTTCTCCTTATCATTTATGCAACCTTTTCGATCAGGAGATATCAGTTATTTATCTCCTTCACATGCATCCCACATGCTCGAATCTGTCGTGTCTATGCATACAAGGGATGGACCTGGCTCATGCCTGAGCTTCCTTTGTCAATGTTCAAAACAAACCTTCACTTGGGCCAACAAATTCCCCCTTTTGATGATGACAAACTCTATTCTTTCATAAGCTTAGTCCTTGTTGCAACTCAGCTCAACATCAACACAATGTTAGAACATTTTACCTTTTTATCACTTATCATCAAGGACCAGGTTCATTAGGTTATAAACATCACTTGTTCAAAAGCACAACCTCTTTCCCCCTTTTGGCATCATCAAAAAGTTGCATAAAATATGTGCGATAACCAGATTTTAAAACTTACTTATGGCCACTGGGCTACTTCAAATGCAAACATGGATTAATCATCATAGATCAAGCTAAGAATTTTAACAATCAAAGAAATAGAGACAATCAGTTAGAGCAAAAAACAGTGAATTTCATTGATGATTGATAAGATTCTACCACAAAGCATAAGAAGAAATAAAAATACTGGAAACATGAGCAAAAACAAAAAAATCTTGAACTGGGTCATTGGTTGATCTACACTAGGCTAGGAAGCTTAAGGCTGGGAAGAACTAGGTGCCTGGTTTTTGGCTTGGAAGAGTTTCAGCATATCTTGAAGAATGCCATCATTCTTCTCCTTTTCTCTTGCCAGCTTAGTTCTGAGAGCATCTCTCTCAGTCTCCACCTCAGCCAACCTTCTCTTCAGCCTCTCAATCGTAGCATCCTTTGCCCCTCTCTCCTGTACCAAGGCTCTGACCTTGCTATTGACTGGTGCCTTCTTGGATGAACCAGGTTCATTGGGAGTGGCATGGACCTCATAGTCACAAGCAATCAGAGTTTTCGCCCCAAAGTGATATTTGCTTGTAGCCACCTCCCACTTCTGCAGAGACACCTTAAAATGTGCAAGCACAGCTGTGAGAATGAAGCCATAGGGAATGGCATGAGATTTGGTGCCACTTATAACCCTATCAAGAAGTTGGATTATAAATCCAGGCCAATTAATATGCCTCCCACTATCCAAACACTCCATGAGGACCAAGTCCGTGAAGCTTGCAATGTTCCTCCTTTCCTGCCTTGGCAGAACACACTTGATGATGAATTCGAATAGCACCTTGTGGGGTGGCTTCATCGCACTCTTATGCAAAGCCTTGGGCTCACTTTCCTCCTCATGATCACTGAATTTTCTGGTGATGGCAAGGGCAGTAGGAAGGTTTTCTAGGCTTGGACACTTAAGCTTTCTGTAGTCATTGTACCCCTCAGCAGGTACATCCAGATTTTCTCCCAACTCCTTTTCATCAAAAGAGATTTTCACCCCTTTCACCAAGCTGGTAACCTTTCCATCCTTCACTTCAGCATTTTCCATAAACTCAACAATTTCGCTCCTTGCCAACCTGCCATCCATCTGAAGGACCATGTCCTTCCATCCTTGCACTTCCAATTTCTCCAACAGCAGCACCATCATTTCCTCCTCCAAATCCCTGAGGAGTCTACCCTTCAGAGTTGTCTTCTTGCCAAACTTGGCTATCTTGTCCTTCTCAGTATCTGAATCATCTTCCTCTTCCTCTTCCTCTTCCTCTTCCTCTTCCTCTCCACTCCATTCTTCTTCCTCAGCAATTTTTACTTGTTTAGTTTTCTCCACAGACCCGGTCCTTTTTTCCAGGGTGGATGGTTCAGCAGATTTTGACTTAGAAGTAGACTTCTTAGTGGAAGTCCTGGCTTTCTTGGGTTTAGGAGTCTGAACCTCCACTTCTTCAATCACATCTTCATCCTGATAGACTAGGTCTATTTAATCAACGTCAACAGGCTTACCCACCTTCTTCTTTCATTTTTCAACTTTTTTTCTTTTGCTTTCTTCAAAGGCTCTTTGTAAATTTGCCTCATTCTGCTTTAGCTGACTTCTTGTGGCTCTTCCTCTTGTGGGAGGAATTTCGATAGTGTCAGAAGGGGCAAGCTTCCTTTTTTTGTTAGCCCTAGCAGTGCAAGGGGTCTTAGCCTTAGAAGTTCTATTCTTCTTTGGGCTGTAGCTCTCACTCACTTTCTTTAATAGGTCTGCGAGGGTTTCTTCTACTGATGAACCAAGTTCCTCTACATTTTGCCCAATTTTAACCAGCCCTTCAGCGGCTTTGCCAGACCCACATCCACCTGTTTTCTTTACACTTTCCTCCATTTTACCAGATTCTGATCCACAAACATCCATTATCCCTGTATCAGGAGTGGGTGAAGAATCAACCACTCTTTTACCCATTCCCCTCTCTTCACTACGAGCACCCTCACTATTTTTTTCTTTTTTCCTTTTATTTTTACCACCAATCCTTCTGGACTCAGAAGATTCTACATCAACCACAGATCTAACCACAATAAACTTGTTCTCCAGATTTTCAGCTAGCTTAGAAACGGAAAAGAGTCTCATATATCCCTGTACTATGGTAAATTATTTAAAATTGTCCCTAGTTATACTATTGGGCCATAAAAGTCCCTTCCGTCCAACTATCCTAACAAATCTGCCCTTGGTTAGACAAAGGTGCCACGTGGCATCCATCCTTGCCTCTTTTGAATCTGGGCACATAAGAGACGACCCGCTCCATGAAACCCACCAAACCCATTACCCGCGACCCGTCATTTATAAACCAAATAATACCCATTTCATCCATTTCATTTTCCTGTTTCATTTTCTTCTCTCACTAACTATCTAGAACATGAAAATACTCTCACAGCTTTGTTCATAGCCTATTTGAAGTGAAGAAATTCCATAAAGTAATACCTTCCTCCATGAAATGATTCGTCTTTTCTATATTATTCATGTTAGTATTGCAATTTTTTAGTTTTCTTTTCGTATTTTACGGTTTTTATGCTAGGGTTTCGATTTCTTAGATTTCATCTACATCTAACTAAAGTTTCTGAAATTTTATTGATATATCCTTATTTCTTGTATGTTTCTAGTGTTTGCATGCATGGTTTACGCCTTTGTTCTTTATTTATTGCTGGGGTTTTGTGGGATTAAGTCCTGACTCTTTGTTTTGTGGGATTTTGTGGGGTTATGTGGGATTTGCTTGTTTGTCCTTTTCCGTAAAGTATATTTATGTTTTCTGAAGATTCTGAACTTTTCCTTTGTTTATTAACAACGATGGTCCCCAATTGTGTGGCCATTTGATTAAAGTATTCGAGTATGTTGGATTCTTCCTTTGGGGGGGGCTCTTGTCATAATTTTTTTTTTCTTTTTGGCATTAATTATTCTTTCCCACCACTGACTTTTACATTAATTATATTTTTTTCTATTGTGTTTTATAGGTTGTTGGAGATGGTGCTAGTTGACTTAATATTCAATTACGATGGTGATTGGGTTACTGAGCCTCAAGTTGTCTACACAGGAAAATTGGTGAAGACTTGGACAGGTTATGACTCCGACTTACTTTCACACATAGACATAGTCAATGAATTCACAAATGAGCTAGGATTTTTAGGGGTTCAACAACTTATAGTTGCTGCCCCATCTGGTAAATTTTATGTGATTGAGGGGGATGGTGGTATTAGACATTTACAAAGGTTATTATGCAATGAATTCAATGTAGTGAACCTATATGGTGTAGATGAATTGAGCCTCCTATTTACTCTATTCCCAATATTGAACAATATGAAGAAGAATCTAATAAAATTGTGGATGATGTTGGTACTGATTATAGCTTAAGTGATGTAGGATCTGACTCTAGTACTGATTCTAAAGGATATAATTCTGAAGAATTAGAAGCACTTAAGCACAAAAGAAAAGGGAAATAAATGAAAAACTTAGTGACTTCAAAGAGTTATACAAATGTATGTCCTTTAAGGACATACCAGAAGCTAGGAAGTGTATGAAGTTATATTCTCTGGCTAACAAGAAAAGATCGAAATTGGAGAAGAGTGACCTAGAAAGGCTTAGGTATACTTGTGATATTGTTGGTTGTCCCTTTGTGTGCTTAATATCAAAAGAAAAGTTTGGTGGGGTTAAAATAAAGACTTTATCTTCTGAACATGATTGTGGCACTGCATTTGATAACAAGACTGTTGATTTTAGTACCATTGCACAATATTTCAAGAAGAAGTTACAGGATAATCCTAAGTACAAGGTTAGGGAGATGATATTAGATTTGAAAAGAAACTTTGAGCTAAATGTTAGTCATGGGAAGTGCAAGAGGGCAAAGAGGATGGTATTGGAGTCACTAGATGGTAGTTTTTCAGATGAGTACAATAAACTAGAGGCTTATGCTAATGAATTGAGGGAAAGTAACCCTGGTAGTGATGTGGTTGTTACACTTTCAAAGAGTGCACTTGAAGAAGGAAGAAGAAGGTTCTTGAGAACGTATGTGTGTTTTCATGCTTTGAAGATGGGTTTCAATCTAGGATTTAGACCTTTTATTGGTTTGGATGGTACCTTTTTGAAGGGCAAAGCCAAAGGCCAACTGTTAGTGGCAGTTGGACAGGATTCACAGAATCATTTTTACCCTTTGGCATGGGCAGTTGTTGATAAGGAGAACAAAAATACTTGGAATTGGTTCCTACAGCTGCTACAATCTTCTTTGGACCTCAAGGAAGGGGAAGGAATCACCTGCATGTCAGATATGCAAAAGGTGAAGTTTTCTTAAATTTCTAATCTGTTATTCAATCTTCTAATTACTTTTTACTTGATAATAAATTCTAAACATCTTTATTTGTTCTGCAGGGACTGCTTGATGCAGTCAAAACAGTCCTTCCCCAGGCACATCACAGGTACTGTGTTAGACATATTGAGTCTAACTGGTGTAAACAGTTCAACACTGGGGAAAACAAGAAGCTTTTATGGTGGTGTGCATGGTGCACATATGCAGAAGATTTCAAGGATCAGCTAGGAAAATTAGGTGACTTGAACAAAGATGCTGTAGAGGCTTTGTTTAGGTACCCACCCCAGTCTTGGTGTAGAGCATACATGGACATTGTATGCAAGAATCAGTCGGTTGATAATAACTTGACTGAATCATTCAACAAGTGGATTGTGGATGCAAGGCATAAGCCTATAATCAAGATTCTAGAGGACATCAGAATCAAGACCATGAACTTGTTAAGAGAACATGAAGAAGAAGTTAGGAGCTGGAGATATGATTTCAGTCAAAAATGCATGGACTTGTATAATGAGTACCTGCAGATTGAACAAACCGCCTGTGAAGTAAATGCAAATGGTCAAAATTACTATGAAGTAACAGAAGGATCTGACAAGCATTGTGTTAATTTGGCTGTGAAGAAGTGCACTTGCAGGTCATGGGACCTTACAGGAATCCCATGTCCACATGCTATTAGAGCTATACTTCATGACTCTGGTGATCCAATGACTGAAATCAACTGGTGGTATAGCAAGGAGGCATTCCTGCTGACTTATAGGCACAAAATACACCCTGTCAGGGGAGAAAAGTTTTGGAAGATTGAACCATCTCAAGCAATGGAGCCTCCAGAGCTTGTGAAATTGGTTGGTAGACAGAGATAGGTAGAAGGATGAAGCAATTAAAAGACAAGGAGTGTGTTCACAGTCCAGAAAAGGAAGAATCATGACTTGTAGCAAATGTGGAGAAACAACTCATAATGCAAGGACTTGTGGTCAGGTAATTATTTTACCTTAACTTCAAAGTATTAAATACTAGACATGAATATTTCTAACTTGTCTTTTTTAACTATTTTAATCAAGGGAAAGAAGCAAAGTAAGAGAGGAAGAGTTGAGCAGGCTGCTGCCACAACTGAGCAGGATTCCACCAGTTCAGCACCTGCTGCCACAACTGAGCAGTCTACCACCAGTTCAGCACCTGCTGCAAAAAAATCAAAAGGAAAGAAGCAAAGGAAGAGGCCAAGTTGTTTGATAGAACATGAAACTGAACCTCAAGTTGAAAATGATATCAACTGTTCAGCACCTCAAGCCACTCAACCAAGTCAGGACAGTGGACTTAGGTTCATGCCTACACCTGGAAGAATGCTTAGGTCAAGAGTTAGACATGAAGAAGATGTTGTTCTTAGGCCAAGAGTTATAACAGAAGTAACTACAAGGCTTAGGATGAGACAACAGGTACAAATACCAGCTGGAACAAGGTCAATCAACTTCACAGGTGATCATAGTGGTGTTAGTGTACCAACAGATCTGCCATATTCAGCCCCAATATTACAGTGGAAGGGGAAGGCTGTTGTAACTGCAAATCAGTTGGAAAAACAAGGGGAAGAAAGAATTGGGAAGCTGAAATCAAGGAAAAAAAATGAAGAAAAAAGTATAATTTTTTTGTTGTGTGGGATGTATTTACTGCAAACTTATAGATAGTTGTGTCCCTTTTAGTATTCTGTAATTTTAGTTTTTTTGGTGTTGTTTTGGTGATGTAACTACTGGAGTTACTGTCTTCTTTGGTGATGTAATTACATTTATTTGGTACTGATTTTGGTGATGTTTTAGTGATGTAATTACAGTTATTTGGTGCTATTTTTGGTGCTGTTTTAGTGATGTAACTACTGGAATTACTGTGTTTTTGGTGATGTAATTACAGTTTCTTGGTGCTGTTTTTGATGTTGTTCCAGAAAATTACTACTGGAATTACTGTGTTTTGGTGATGTAATTTCAGTTTTTTTGTGCTGTTTTTGGTGCTGTTTTTGGTGATGTACTGTGTTATAAGCATTTGTGTTTGGAAAATAGTGTTGACTTGTTGTCCAGCTTGTATATATGATATTAAATCCAGAAGTGAGACTATTTGTTTCTTATCCAAAGCTCCAGGTGCATATACTAGTCCCATATGGTCATCACCAAAGTTTATGTTTTTGGTGATCTATGTTTTCAAACTAAGTTCTAATACTTAAAAAGGGACCATATGCCATAAAAAATTCAAACTAATTTCAAACAATTGACAAGTCAATAGATAGAACATCACAACACTAGTACTTGGAAACATAGAACATCAAAACACTATTACTTGGAAACATACATTAACAATTGATGTAATTGTTATGAAAAAAAAACTCTAGTACTTAGGAACATACATTAACAAGTGAAATATGGACCATAGGCCATCTTCAGCAAACACAATTTACTTCATCCACATTGCCGCAACAAAACCAACAATAAGTGCAACTGAAATCCAAATAAACATCTTCATCTTAACCACTTTATCTTCGATTTCCCTTACTTTGTTTACTTCAACATTTTTTGCAACCTCCAAATCTTCAACTTTTTCCAACAGCTTGTCTCTTTCTATCTTGCACGACTCCAGTAATTGCTTCAACATATTGATTGTAACATTAGCAGCATCCAATTTACACTGCAACTTATTGATTTCTACCAAAGCTCGATCCGGAAAAGGTTTGTCTTGCCATTCCCAATATCCACACGACTCATTCTAACAAAAATGAACAACAATTAGGTTAGAAGGAATAAAAATTTAATTTTGTACAAACAATTAACAAACTTACTTCAGGTTTTGCCCATTTATAGAATCTTCTTCTGGGATTTTGAGGTGTGGTCGATCGGAAGTGGTTGTCAATCTCTCCACAATGGCACCTCCTCTTTGATGTAGCACTAGACTCCGACATTTATGATGAAATTTGTTGAAATGGGTTGTCTTGATGGAGTTAATAGCATAGAGGGTTTGATGGAGATGGCAGTAGGATTATAAATTAGGGTTGGGATTTAATTTGGGTTATAAATCGTTGGGCAGTGGCTTTGGGGTATTATTTGGTTTATAAATGGGTTATGGGTTGGTGGGTTTCATGGAGCGGGTTGTCTCTTATGTGCCCAGATTCAAAAGTGGCAAGGATGGATGCCACGTGGCACCTCCGTCTAACTAAGGACAGATTTGTTAGGATAGTTGGACGGCAGGGACTTTTATGGCCCAATAGTATAACGGGGGACAATTTTAAAAAATTTACCATAGTACAGGGATATATCAGACCCTTTTCCGGCTCAGAAATGACTTCAGTAGTAGTATTTGGGCCAGAGGTTACCTGTTCTGCATCAGAAGACCCGGTTTCTTCCCCCTCAGTAGCAGACTTGAAGGATTCTTAAGAGCTCTGGGGTTCTTGGGCTTGGCTAGCTTTAAATTGAGCGTCTAATTTCTTTGATAATGCACTCCCAGCCACTTTCTTGCGAGCAAACATCTTAAATCTTCTTTTCTTAGGCTGAGGAGTAGTTGAAGATGAGGAGCATGGTGGGGGTGTGCTGGGGTTTTCAAAACGGTTAGTCATTGCTATGCTTGGTTCTGGAAGAAAAGGAGAGATAGATTGAGTTTTGGAGAATGAGAGACGATGGAGAGTATTTCGACGGCTTGAAAGTTTTGGAGTGAAGACAGAGATGATGATGATCAATTTAAAGGGGGTAATTAATGGGTAACACCAGGCTTTTCAGACTCTTAGAAGTCTAATCAAACTGAATGTCAGTTTTGAAAAGACGTTGGAGTCTATCCCTAATATCTAGGTGGTTTAATTCGGTTGGGAGTCTTTGAACGGAATTGGTTCACTTGTAACAGATAAGTTCAAAAGAACTTTTGAATTTAGTAGGACTCTGCTCATGATCCAAATATTATTATTTCAAATTATGCAGAGTATAGAAAGCGTACCTATTTATCTTGATGAACTAGGTTCTTCGCTGAAAATTCCTCTCGTGTAAGTCTAAATTTGCCAAAACAGAGAAAATATCATTAGAGATTAATGAATCATTTTAACACATGGCACAAGAGTATACTATTGAAAGTATGAGATTGAGCAAGATCTAATCTACTTATTTACAAATTTTACAGATTTTCTAACCAAAAAAAAATCATTTTTTTCATTTTTTTCTCATTGTGAAATTTTGAACTGGTCCTTTTAGGTGATCTTAATCATCCCTAATTTCAACCTGTTCCTCCCAAAATAATCTCTACTTAAGGCTTTTGTGAAGATGTCAGCAATTTGCTTGTCAATAGCACAAAACTCCACAGTAATCAAGCCTTTCTCATAGTTGTCCCTCAGGAAGTGGTGCCTAACATCTATGTGTTTGGTTCTCTTATGATGAACCGGGTTCTTTTTCATATTAATGGCATTAGTGTTATCACAAAATATAGGGATACAACCAACATCAATTCCAAAGTCCAATAATTGCTATTTGATCCACAACAATTGAGCACAACATGAAGCAACAACAACATACTCAGCTTCAGCAGTAGATAAGGCCACTGAATTTTGCTTTTTGGTAGCCCATGACACAAGACATGAACCAAGAAAGTGTGCCATACCTGAGGTTCTCTTTCTATCCACTAGAAAACATGCAATCAGCATCAGCATATCCCACTAGAGTGAAATTACTACATTTTGGATACCAAAGACAAAGGTCAGTGGTGCCTTTTAGATATCTCAAAATTCTCTTGACAACAGTCAAGTGAGACTCCTTTGGGTTTGCCTGAAATCTTGCACAAAGGCCTACACTGAAAATAATGTCAAGTCTACTAGTAGTGAGATATAACAATGAACCAATCATTCCCCTATACAACTTCTGATCAACAGATGAACCGGGTTCATCTATATCTAACTTTGTAGCTGTTGCAATAGGAGTGCCAATTTCTTTGGAATCTTCCATTTTAAACCTTTTAAGCAACTCTTTTACATATTTCTATTGATGGATCATAGTTCCATTTGAATTTTGTTTAATTTGTAAGCCTAAAAAGAAATTAAGCTCACCCATCATGCTCATTTCAAATTCACTCCCCATTAGTTTAGCAAATTCTTTACTTAGCTTATCAGTAGTTGCTCCAAAGATGATATCATGAACATATATCTGAACTACCAAGAGATCTTTACCTTTTTCTTTCAAGAACAAAGTATTGTCAATTTTACCTCTCTTGTAGTCATGCTCAAGCAAGAATTTTGATAACCTTTCATACCATGCTCTTGGAGCCTGCTTCAGCCCATAAAGTGCCTTGTTAAGTTTGTACACATGATCAGGATATTCCTTGCTTTCAAACCCTGGAGGTTGCTTGATAAATACTTCTTCCTTGAGATAGCCATTGAGGAAGGCTCTTTTGACATCCATCTGATGTAGAGTAAATTCCATGTAAGCAGTAAAGGCTATGAGGAGTCTTATTTCTTCCAACCTTGCAACTAGAGCAAAGGTCTCATCATAGTTTATGCCCTCCTCTTGGATATATCCTTGAACCACCAATCTTGCCTTGTTCCTTGTAACTGTTCCATCTTCATCAAGTTTGTTTCTGAAGACCCATTTTGTGCTAATTATTGATCTGTCCTTGGTTATTGGTACCAGATGCCAAACTTGACTCCTTTCAAATTGGTTGAGTTCATCTTGCATTGCATTTACCTCGTCTACATCCTGCAAAGCCTCAACAACATTTTTAGGTTCAATAAGAGATAAGAAAGCATCAAAAGCACAAAGATTCTTTAATGAAGATCTGGTTTTAATTCAAGAGGTTGGATCAGTAATTAAGTTCTCAATGGGATCAGAACTTTGGTACTTGTAAGGTTTCAGAATCAGCT